GACAACACGCATTTTTTGTTTTTTTCATCGTACATATAAAACCTGAAATTGACTTTGATGTTGAACTTTCTGTTATAATAAATGTATTCTTAAATAAGATATCACTTTCATAAATTTATATAGTTTAAAAGTGCAGTGTGCTTTTTTAATTAAAATTCATTCTCAGTAAATTTTATTGTTTAGTTTATTAGATTCAGTAATGTAAATAAAATATTAAAAATTACTAACTGAAGCAAAAACAAATAATCTTTCATATTAAAATCAGAAGTATAAACAATTTACAAGAAATTATTTTTTTATTCATTCTGCAGGATTAGATCATGGACACATTAGGGATGGATGAAAGCGTTGACTTTGATTTCTTTGAGACACCACGAAGTCCCAAAAAGGACTCTAAAAATAATGGCCAAGATAAGACTTCTTTGTCTAAACCACCCGCACACCCTCGTCCAAACAACGACTCTCCTAAAGATAGTTCAAAAAGTGGACACCCACTAAAATTAGAAAAATCAATTGCTGTGAGATCGAGCTCTGCCCCGAGAGCTGATTATTTCGATGACTCAGATAGTGATGGCAACCGATCTCCTAGTAGAGAAGGAGATAGGTCAAGAGACAGCATATCTTCAAAGTCATCAGTCACTATATCAAGTCATTCAAGTAGTCGCAGCTCATCACCAGGAAGAAATAATTCAAAACCTCTTAAGAATCAGGAGAGAATCAGCAAGAAGAGCTCAAATAGTTCTTTCTCTAGTGATGATTCAAGCGTTGATGAGCGACCTAGTAATCCCACTGCCAAATCTAGAAAACTCCAAAACAGAAGTAACTCTAGACATCTATCGGATGAGGAAGAAAAAGCAGAGCACAGGAAAGAAAAAACTGACTCCCTCTGCCATGATGATGGGGACTTTAAGAAATTGCCATATAAAAACAAATCACAAGCTTGGGGAGAAAAGTCCAGCAGTGAACTTTATAAACAAAAAAATACAAATTTAGACAGACCTAAGACAGCTAAAAATAGACTGCGGGATAAGACTGATAAAACTAAACCAAATAAATCAGATTCACTTTCTGATACATTGTCTGACAGTGATATAACTGATGTATCCCCCATAGACTCTCCAAGAAATCTCAGTCAAGCTAAGGTTAGGGACAGAAGTAAAGGACAGGGAATAACTGCAGCAGGTGATGGTCACACTCATTTCAGGCCTATACCAGTGACAGAGTTAGATCTTAGAGACCTTGATGCAGATTTTGATCGTAACACAGATCTGGACAGTTTTGATCTCCACATTTTAATGAAAGCTGTTGGGGAATTAGAAAAGCAGAAACGCCTAAAAGCCAACTCTCGAAGGGTAATGTTTGCACCAACATCCTTACATCGTACTGAAAAGGCAAATTACACCTTTGACGACAATAAAACTAGAGACATCGAGCGTGAGAATAACCGCCTGCTAAAAGAGATTGTCAGACATGTAAACACTGGTGGAGAACACAGAAGAGGTCATATAAGAGGGTCAGCTACTCATAAGCTGACTGCATCGGCGGTCAACAGAGAGAGGGATATCAGGAGAATAGAATCAGAAAACTTGGTAAGTCTTTCAATGTATAAAATTTGTCCTTGTCATTATAATGCATTTTAATTAGTTTTATATTAAATAATGGTGATAGTTTTATTTTCAATAAGGCATTACTTATGAATTATTGGAAACATCTACTTGTCATTTTGTGATGAGACAAATTTCATTTTTCTAATATTCACTTGCTAGTTTGCAAGTGGTATACGCAAGGGTAGTACAATTGGGCTCTGTGATGGGACGTTTTCTGCTAGGTACCAGTTTCGTGTATTTGAGATTGATATTTGCCTAATTTGGGTACAAATCAAATGCTTTTTACTAGTTTCAAGTGTTAACTTTGGGTGTAAGTTTCACTCAGATAGGACCTGACAACTACACGGGTGATGGCCAACCTCAGCGATAATCTGCATGCATGATGTTCCTTTAAAAAAAAAACATGTGCTCACACACCTGAAGTCGTCTGATGAACCTCTTTCTTACTTTAACTTTCAGTGAATCTGGATCAGAGGTTCTCAATTTATTTCAATCCTTTCTCCCTCTCCTTTCATTGGCGAAAAGGGTTTAACTGCGATAGAGCTTTAAAGTAGATTAAGTAATGGAATGATGCCACCCCCCCAAAATAAAAATAAATTTATAGTAGACTTTAAATCACACATGACATCAATTCAACAACAGAAACTATAAAATCCCCACCTTTATTTTTTGTGTGAAAACCATTGATCAAGTTAGATCTATATTTTTTCCTATAACCAATAATATCACAAGTTTTAAAAAAGTGAAATTTTATTTTTAACTTGTATTTATTTATTTTTTGGCTGTTTAAAATACTTCCAAACTTCAATTAAGTAATTGAGCCAGTAATTATCTTCAAATAAAGACATTTTTATGTAAATCCATAGACTAGATGAGTAGAGCAACGCCCTTTCCCTTAGGAAAACAGAAAAGCTCTGTTAACTGAACATTTCTACCATGTATGCAACAATAAAAGAGCTTTGTTTTAATTGCTTATCCTGGGATCTGTAAACATTATCACCTAACTGTCAAAAAATATTTTGAAATAAGGGTACAAAACCTGGGGTTGAATTATTGTTTTCATGAAACTGAAGATCTAAATTATTATCATTTTCATTTTTACATCATACAAGTATTGAAATTAATTATAAATATTATTAAATGTTAACAAAATAACAATTTTTAAATAAAATCAATAGGTGTTGGTTTTGTGTAAGTTGTGTTTTTCATCCATTAACAAAATTAAATTTATGCTTCCTTTTTACTCCAGATTTTTTTAAAATTAAAAATTTTCAACAGTCTTAAACCTAAAAAAAATCAATTAAATTCATTTAGAAATGTTAGTTATTCTTCCTCTGTTGTTAATATTGATTTTCTCTGATAAATCCATTTTTTAAACATTAAAAATTGCAGGGAGTCTGGCAATGTCTATATTTAAATAAGTAATTTCAGATAAATTTAATTGCCTCATGTAATATAAAGATTGGTTAATTAATATACAGGACAGGTATAATCAAACTAATATAGTGCAATATGTTTGTGTACATTTTATAAACATTTATTATGATTTTAATTAAGAACTTAACATAGCTTATGCAATTAACATGTTTTATAATATATCTGTGGAATTACTATATTATTGTTCCCCACTTAATTTGTAAATTCTAATTTTTGCAATTATACATCATTATATGAAATGAATTTTTATATCAAATAAGGAAGACTAGACTTAATGGTCTATGTTGATGATAATAATTTTGAAAATTTATTTAATGGTTTTTAATGGTAATTTTGATTAAACTTAAACATTATTCTTTTGAGAAAAATAAAATTTTCTGTTTCTTACTTATGGGTCCCATTTCTATTTACAAAATAATTATTAACTCCATCATTTTAAATTACAGGCATTTTTGAAGCGTTTAAAGAAAGTTAAGCCAACTAAAGCCATTTCAAGAGAAAATCAACTTAAAGAATACCAGAGCACAATGTTGCATGGTGTGCCCATTGCATCTCTGCATCCTATGACAAGAAGTGGTCAACGATCAGGTTTTGATGACTCAGCCAGTTCTATGAGCAGCATTCACAGGTATAACTCTTGTTTTTATGTTATGAAAATATTTGTGATCATACATTTAGAGATAGAATTAATTTTTTTTCTCTTGGGTTTTCTGTGTTAGTGTTATAACAATTGAAAAGCGTTTTTTTTTTCTTCCCAAACATTTTTTTGGGCTAATTTACAATTTTCAAATTTTGAGATAATAGAAGAAACTATGTCTCTTACCTTTATCTTGAGTGTACACAATGTGACATAGAAAATAACAAGGACTTATAACTTTCTTCTTCCTTTGACACAGACATATCGTAATTAACACTAAGGACACCAGAAGTAATCATAACTCCATTTTGAAAAAAATATGAATCATCCCATTTGAAAAAATTCTCTTTAATTTGGATTATACTATGTTTTGAACTTAAAGCCCTGTTATCTAATATCAGCTTGCTATTTTAGTTGTAATAAGTATCAATACTGAGCCTGAATATGCCATAGGTGTGTGTGTGGTGAGAGGGTGGGGGGGGGGGTGGAAGACTGTCTATCCATTTGTTTTTCCAGGTATATTACCTAAGAGTACATATCTTCCATCGACTGACCGTCAACCAGTCTTCCCAGATTTTTGTTAAATGATATACTCTTAGGGGGGGGGGGGGGGGGGGGGGGGGGGGGGGGGGGGGGGGGGGGGGGGGGGGGTGGAAGACTGTCTATCCATTTGTTTTTCCAGGTATATTACCTAAGAGTACATATCTTCCATCGACTGACCGTCAACCAGTCTTCCCAGATTTTTGTTAAATGATATACTCTTTCAAAATTAATGCATGTTGTCTTATTAAATGTATATGATAACCTTTTCAGTGCTGTATCCTCGGTGCGTTCTGTGAATTCAAGATACAGCAGTCGACCTGTCAGTGCAGTGAGGACGCCTTCAAGTGCCACCCGATATGTGAGTAAGAGACCAGAATGGTCTGACAGGTGGTGACATCTTGTAATGACTTCATAGTAGAAATATTGGTGTATGTAATAAGCAAAATAATTATTTCAGTGAAATGTTTACTTAACTTATCCATATTACGATTCACATTTTGTAATCTTTCTGCCTCATTTGTAGATAGTTTGTTTTATATTATGATCTCGGTGAGCACTAATATTTAAAAACAATTTTTTTTAAGGATTTAATGTGGCCATTGATTTAGCAGCTGACTTTTATTGTAGAAAAAAAAAGAGGTCATCAAAATAAATTTGTCAAAAAACATAAAAATGTATTGAGGCACACTTGTAAATATAATTTGTATAAAGTCTGATCACATCATATCACTGTATATTTTAATGTCTTAAAATAAAATCAATCTTGTACTTTTTTTCAAATTTTAAATGTCTAAAAGTAAAATATTTTTTGATGTACTTGTGTATGTAAATTATTTACTTATCTCCAATGCATTCCAAAAGTACTCTTATGTGCTTTTTGATAGTAAATACATTGTCATCTTTTATGAGGAATAACTCAAGGCATTCATCAAAGCTTATAATTTGCCAGTTTTTTTAATTATCATAATCGTAAGCACAGAATAAAGTCGTTCATAAAAAGGATGCATTCCGTCCAAATCACTTTTCTAATAAATTAAACACCATTAAAATTGTTAAATACAGTTTTATCAGCAGTTTCTACAATACTTGTATGGCAAGATTACTTCTCTAGGCACTGTGATTGTTGGGTTGCATTTTTTGGTAATGTATATTTAATACATTTTTTATATTTAATTTTTGAGTTCAACATTAATGGTGAGGTGAATTGCTTTTTAAGAGTTCAATTAAATTACAATTTGAAAATTAAACTGTTCATTTTTAATATTCTTTACATTCTGAATTTTTATAGAACTTTTGGTTGTGGCGCTTTTGGTCTATGTGGGAAATTTTATTTTGCCTTGGGGAAATATTTCTTGAAAAGTTGTTAAAAAATTAAAATGTATTTATCCAGTTACATGATCAAGGATATCCCAAAAGTGCACTGTTGATAGACAAGTGTGACATGATAAAATCTGGCACTTTGGAAAAAATCATTTAGCTTTCTGTCAAACACACTGAAAAATCAAGGTGGATACCATATTAATTTTAATATATAACTAAACAATGTCCATGTCAACTGCCTGATGGCTTCAGATTATCTTTTCCTCTGATATCAACCTTTTCTTTAGTCTTGTCTTTATCCTCACCTTGTCTGCATTTTACTTTCTGTTTTAATTCTGCTATACTCCAATTAGAACCACTTCTATTATCCTGGTGAAGAGAGTTTAAATGATAATAATAATATAGTTTATCAAGAGAATTTATTTAGATAAAATTCTGAATGACAATGGACAGCTATATTTTTTCTAACTAGTAGTAGAGGCAAATTAAGGAAGTGAAATCTAAAATAAATTTAAAGGTGATGATGATTTAGTACTTTTATAGCGCTTGTGTCCATGCTATTTTAGCATGCTCACAGCGCTCTGATGTCCTAAAAATCTATTTAAAGAAAAAAGTCTTTAAATGTTTCTTAAATGACTTATTATCATTTTCAATGTCCCTCAAAGATTGAGGCAAACTGTTCCACAATTTAGGCGCAATAGCTTCAAAAGAGCAGACACTGTATGACTTGTTAAGATCAACAAATAGACCTTGTTTGGTAAGACATTCATTATTTAGCATCAGCTGCAAAGCTCCCTAGGTTCCATACCAATAAACCAGTAAAAAAAATATCCTACTTGTATTTGAACATCACATTTCATTAAAATCTCTTCTCTGACTGTATCTGAAATTTGCCACAAGGGTTTGTAAAGTCTCTTCTTCAGCTCTTGAGCTTTATCTTCTGGGATGCCCACCTCTCCTACAAAAAAAGTAATTTAAAAAAAATTAATACAACTTAATCAAACATTTTCAGTTGAGGTGTTGAAAACTTGAGAGTAAAAGTAACAAGAGAAAGTTCTCACCATAAAATAAGACATTAAATTACGTAAAATAACCAATACTTAAGAAAGGCTTTGGAACAAGTAAAACTCATTAAAAGCAAATGGAAAGGATGACAATATATGTGCCATTTTTTCCTTAATAAATAAAAAAAATTATTCCAGGAATATCTACAAAACAAAATAATTCTTCAAATAGTGTTTTCCATGAGATTTCAAAGACCAAGATCATTACCAAGATATTTTGTGCCTATGCATATTTAAAAACCATTCAACCATCCACCCTGTAAATTGTGCACCCTATGTTTATGTACAAATGAGCTTTTTGCTTATACTTTAGCACTTAACAATTATATTTCTTCTTTTTTTAAATACATTTATATATGATCAGTGTATTTTTTTTCATTATACAAGCTTAACCAACTTCTACTGTCCATTCATTGGCCAGTAAATAATTCATAATTGAAAATAAAATGTGAAAATCTTTTCAAGATTAAAAAAACAACAACAAATTTTGTCCTCATAGTCATAACCACAAACATAAAAAAGAAAGTTGAAATGAAATTAACTATTAGTATTATTCTGCCATCAGCAATAACCCTGAAAAATTACACTTGTGCTACTTGTGCGACATCTCCTGATATGTTCATAACAACAAAATTAAACATGTTGCCTTGGAAAATCATCAGCCTATGGGTATCATATTTGCTTATTTAAGGACATTAAAACAGTGATGGGAGAAGATTTGATCATTCTCATAATGCGATAATTCTTGTGTGTCTATACTATTCATTTGTTTCAGTGACCTCCTGTAGGCCAAAGCTCTTAATCTGATCAACATTCTTAATCCCCTTGCCCTTTTCAATCTATATTTAAATGTTGATATAATCTGTACCATGCATACACCAATGGGAAAAAAATTGCTAATATTACTAATATAAATGTAATGAGCTTCATAAATATTTACCTGCAGCTGCTATCAAGAGAGGTTCATTTTTTGCAAATTCTCTAATCTTGGACCTTGCAGACACAGCTGCTTCCACTGCACTGTACAGCTTCACATTCAAACTGGGGTCTTCTGCCTGCAGAAAAGAAAGAATTATATAAAATTGTTTTTGTTTGTTTTTAAGTTTGATCAGTGATGATAAAAAAAAAAAAATTAAAATTAAAAGCAATATTATTCTCAAACTACAGAAAGAATGTTGGGAAGTACATAAAATCAAAGATGGCCTTAACTAATAAAAAAAAAAATTATACTTGAGACTCATGCATTAAAAATGATTATTTATAATATCAATTATCAGATTTTTAGTTTTTATGATGGGTAAATAATTTGTAAATAGGTTAGCCAACCTATCATGAATAATAAAAAGTTGTCGTTTATGCTTCCAGCCTCCTGAAGCTCATAACAAGCTCACTGAAAATAATCAACAATGTTTTAAAAATCAATGTTTCAATTATCAAAAAGTACATACCTTTACCTTTGGACTGTCTAATCCTAATGTCTGTAGTAGATTTCTAACATAAGCTCCTACAATTGCAATGAGTGAAGTGCTTCGAGAAATATGCATCTAATTAGAGTAAACGTATTTGTATGTTAGATTTTTCTCATTTTCAAATCCATCAGGATGCCTAAAAAAATATTGAATAAATAATGCTTTCTTTAGACCTTGCTGCTGATTCAAGAATTTTACGTAACTTAATTTTAATAAAACATCACTATTAAAAAATAATTTAGAGCTTAAATTGATGCCAAAAACCTAATACATATTTTTTATTGGAAAAACATAAAGCAATGAATTACATTACATTCACAATAAAGTAATAGTATTTAAAATTATATATACCAAAAAAAATTATAAACAAATACTTTGATGTAAGAGCTAATTTATCTTCATTTAGGTCAATCTAATTTATTTTGAGGAACTTCAAATCAATTACTACTTGAGATGGGGTTTGATCTTCTTCCAAAAACTTGTTTGTGTATTTTACAAGTCGCATGAGATGGGCCAAAGCCTGTGGTGTGTTAAAGTCATCACTCAATGCTTCTAGAATTAACTTCCGAGTAGAATCTAATCTGTGACAATATTTCATTTAAAGTCTATTAAATTTGAATGTGAACAAAAGAATCATTATCCTGTGCTAATCAAACTTTGCTGATTTGAAAACATCCATTTAAAATTATAGTACTTTTCAATGTTAAAATGTTAAGTTATGCTTTTTAAGATTTTTAAAACATGAATTCATTCAATAAAATTTAAGAATTTTGCATTATATTATGGTTAAACTTGATTTAAAGGAATTGAGAGAAAGTTAATAATTTATAATTGCAAAACTTGCTTTTCAAACAGCTCTCCTTCTGGAATAACCTTAGATGAAAAAAGTTTGCCCTGCACATAGTCATCACAGTGTTTGACAAAACTGTTTAATGATGACATTGTTGATATGGCTTTCTGCATATGCTCTGGACTAAATTCTAATTCTGATTATAGAAAGAAACATGAGGAAAAAAAGATGTAGGTTGATAACCTGAATTATCTTAAATAACTTCATTTTTTTATAATCTTTTTTTCCATTATCTAACAAAAACTATCAGCAAGAGGATTAAAATTGCTGACAACTAATAAATCTGAAATCATTAAATTAATACCATGACCAAAAACTTATTTCTTTTTTTACTAAGGCATCATCATATAAAAAATGTCTGAATATTTCAAATAAAATTGTGGTAACTATCTAAAATTACTTTTTTTTGTCCTTTTAAAAATAAAAAAATTCACAAGTTTTAGGACTTATGTCTCAGTGTAGAATATATGTGTCACCAAACACTCTAAAAAAAAACTGCAACAAAGTGATGGGTATCCTCTTTTTCTTTTAAGCTATGGCTAAAGAAAGACTGGAACCAGAAGGGTTAATTATAATTAGTGTTGTGATAGTAAAAATAAAGCTTTTCAAATTCTCAGATGGTTAGTAGAGCAGAGGGTGAACAAAAAAATAGAACCAACAAAAATATTGTAATAGCAAACCTACTCCGCCTATAATGGCTGAGAAGACACAACATACGGAACTGATTGGGGGAGTACTTTTCAAGTAGCTCAGGAACAGTGATAACATTCTTCAAGGACTTGGACATTTTGTCAGCATCACCTGACAAAAATAGGTGCCCTGTATTTTATGGATACAAATAGGACACAGAGTTAGAGAAAAGTTACTTAAAATAAGTCTCTACAAAAAAATAATTAATGTTGATCATGAAAATTATTTTATTCATTGCCAAAGACCTACAAAATACCAGTCTGAAAAAACTTTAATAGATCAGATTTGTATCCTGAATGAATCCAATAGTTAACCTAATGAGTGAGTTCTCTATCTACCTGTGTGTATCCAATAATTAACCCATTGACTGCTGCCATGATAAACACATGACTGAGCCAGTTCATTTTCATGATGGGGGTACATCAGATCCTCCCCTCCTGAATGGAGATCAAATCGGGCACCAAATATAGCACTGTTAAAAAGTAAATGATTGGGGGACAAGTTACAATGTACATATTTAAAATTTTCAACCTGGTTGAAACAGTTGCATTATTATGATAATGTCAAATAATTATTTATCTTTTTAGTGCTGACATTTGGGTTCTAAAAATCTTTTGGTACGCTTTTGTCAGCTAAGACACAGCAAAGCTAACTTGATTTATTATTGAAAAAAAATGACCAAATGACCTGGCCATAGCAGAACACTCCACATGCCAGCCAGGCCTTCCTTGTCCCCATGGAGATTGCCACCAGACTTCACCAGGTTTATGGCCTTTCCATAAGGCAAAGTCTCGTGGGCTGCGTTTTTCCGGAACTGCGACTGGAATATATTGTTGCCAAATAATAATCTTATGAAAACAGCCTTCTTAAGAAATAATATATTTCTACAAATTATTTAGGGGAAAAATGGCAACCCTACTGTTTCAAAATTAATTTTCTGATCTGATTGAAGGAAGCAAAACAAGAAGCTAAAATTTGGGGATAATATTTTCTACTTTATTATAATAGCTTATGTTTAAAAAAATTTAAACACTTCTTCACAATGAAGAAATGTTACACCAAATGTTATGATTACATCAAATTAAGCTAAATTAAAAAAAAAACAACAACTTTTTGTTAATTTTAATGTGGAAACAAAATCTTACCTACTGAAGTGTCTGGCTGATTTGAAAAAAACCCATATTTACCATACTGGTTCACATCAAAATAGACACTCCCTATTAAATAGAAACCAACATTAAATATACATTATTAAAATTAAGGGGATTCTCATGACTCAGACTGACATTTTAGATTTTTCTCATTTTCAAATCCATCAGAATGTCTAAAATATAGTGTGAATTGACTAAATTAGATCTTTACTTTTAATATAATAAAAAATGTCAGGATAAGTAATATATCTGAAAAAATAAAAAAATAATTCTTCACAATTAAAATATAATAAATAGGAGACAAATAATTTTATAATCTTTAAAAATATATACAGATTTTAAGAGATTCAATTTCACCATCAGTTGTCTTATATCCAATGCCCTTTTGTTCTAAGTCTTTAACAAAGTCAATAATTGATGACACATGATCAGTGACCCGCATTACAACAGTTGGTGGTATGACATTAAATTCAGCCAAACTTGCAAAAAACTCAGCCTCATAGTACTGTGTGATATTGCTGATGGTCTGATTAGTCTGGGGAAAAAACAATTTAAAAATTATATTTTGATTTGTTGATTTAAAATAAACAAAGAAGATAATATACACCACTATCTTAAGACCAGTAGTAACTTACGCTAGTGAGACTTGGTCCCTTACCAGAAAAGCAGAGAACCTACTGAATACATGGGAGAGGAAAATCCTCAGGAAAATATTTCGCCCAGTGATAGAAAATGATGTCTGGAGAATCCGTACAAACCAAGAGCTATACCAACTGTACAAAGACGCACCCAAATAGTCGCAACAATAAAAAAAAAAGCAGACGCACTGGGCAAGAAATATTGAAAGGATTCCGGATTATAGAGCAGCAAAAGTGATATACAGGCAGAAGCCTAGGAACAGACGGCTCACTGGTCATCCAAGACTGAGATGGATTGATGATGTAGAGAAGGATTTAAACCAGTTGGGGTTCGAGCATAGAAGATTTATCAAAAGAGTTAAGATAAAAGATGAAAAGAATGGATACCACGCCAGACCGCAAATGTGTGAGAGCCACAATGGAGAATTAATCACGGAAAATAGTAAAGTACTGGAGAGGTGGGCTGAATATTTTGAGGACATACTGAATGCAGACAATAGACAAGAAGAAGATTATCAACCCCCACAGGGAGGACCAGACCCTTTTATACAATGCCCGACCCTAGAAGAAACCAAAGAGGTAATTAATTATATGAAAAATCACAAAGCCCCCGGACAAGACCTCTTCACAGTAGAAATATGGATTAAATATGATTAAATATGGAGGAAAAGAACTACACACTCAAATACATAAACTTATAACTAAAATTTGGCAAGAAGAGAAAATCCCAACAGAATGGGAAACAGCATTAATAAGCCCAATACACAAGAAAGGCTCCAAACTTGAGTGCACAAACTACAGAGGAATCTCCCTATTAAATGTTTCATACAAAATACTGACGAATCTTATTGCCAAAAGATTACATTGAAGAAATACTAAATGATTACCAATGTGGATTCAGGCCTAACAGATCAACGACTGATCAGATTTTCACCATCAGATGCCTATTAGAGAAATGCTATGAATATAATATACCAGTACATCAACTCTATGTGGACTATAAAATGACCTATGAAAGCATCAAAAGAAAATATCTATATGAGACTGCAGGAGTTTGGGATACCCAACAAACTGACAAGACTTATACATGTAACACTAAACAACTCAAAAAGCAAAATCAAGATTCAAGGAGAATATTCAAGGGAATTTCATATTAGACGAGGCCTAAGACAGCGAGACTCCCCCTGTCCTGTATGCTTTTTAACCTAACATTGGAGAGAGTTATGATAAACATACACATTAACACTCGAAGAACGATAACAGGATACTTTCTGAGGGAAACTCAGGACGCACAACCAACGGGCACACTCTACAACCAACCACTTCAGTACCTTGCATATGCCGATGACATAGCACTGCTAGGGAAAAGTATTAAAGACATATTAAAATCCTTTATTGAATTAGAAAACGCATCACTACAAGCAGGGCTGGAAGTTAACAACCAAAAAACAAAATACATGATCATGATAAGAGAAGAACACACAGATGAAGCAATTAAAATTAGAAACCAGACTTTTGAAAAAGTAAATCAATTCAAATACCTAGGATCTTTGTTTAATGAAAGAAACGAATTACTAACAGAAATAAAAGAAAGAGTATCAGCCGGAAACAGGGCATACTTAGCAGTAGTCTTCAAAAGTAAAAACATTACAGGAGAAACAAAGAAAACTATTTATAAAACTGTAATCAGACGAGTTGTAAAATATGCAAGTGAAACTTGGACCCTAACAAAAACGGCAGAAACCTATTAAACACATGGGAGAGGTAAGTTCTCAGGAAAATATAAGGACCAACAAAGGATGAATATGGATGGAGAATACAAACCAACCATAAAATGTACAGTCAATATCAGGATCCCACGATAGTAGCAGAAATAAAAAGAGGCAGGCTTCGCTGGGCAGGACACTTAGAGAGAATGCCAAATGACAAAGGAACAAAGAGGGTGCATCACCAATACCCCAGAGGAAAAAGGCTCAAAGGCAGACCTGGGCTTAGATGGATGGATGATGTGAAAAAAGATCTACAATAGCTGAAAGTCAAAGCATGGAAAAGAAAGGCATTAGTTAGGTCTGAGTGGAAAGAATTGGTGAGGCAGGCCAAAACCCTACATGGGCTGTAGCGCCACAGGGATGGATGGATAGGGGTTCGCACATGGAGGCGTAAGGCATGGATCGATCGGAATGGAAGGATGTGGTGGAGCAGACCAGGGCCCTACAAGGGCTTTAGCGCCACAGATGATGATGAATTTAAAATATTAATTCAATAATCATGCAATATAAACAAAGATATTCACTAATTAGTTGCAATAAGAGCTTAATAAAACATTTTAAGCTTTAACTATAATAATATTTTTACAGGTGAGCTCTTACTTCTGCAGCTTTGTTAATGATTTTGTCATCAATATCAGTCACCCCCATGACAAAGACTGTGTCAATGTTGAATACTTTTTGCATTATCCTCCTTATGATATCCTGACGTACATAACAGCTTGCATGACCTATATGTGAAGTGTCATATACTGTTGGTCCACAGGCATACCTTAGTTTTGAGACAAGAAATAAATTACAATTTCATCACACAAAAAATGTTAAAGAAAATGACTGCTAGCTTGAAACTATATTATCATCTAAAAATAAAAATAGATCAGAGGCTAATAACTAGGATTTCACACAATTTACTTTAAACAATAAAATTATTCATTAAAAGACAAAGCTTTTTTTGGACACTGCAAAAAAGACAGAACTCTTTTTCACAAGCCCTGCACTTACTTTGCAAAACAATTAATAAAAAACAAAGTAATTACTTCCAAACATACAACTATATATATCCTTTTAGGGAATTGAATGAACCAATACAATATGTATGAGTCAAACTTAAATCTTAACACTTATGCAATTTTTTAAAATACTTAAAGGGTTTCAAGGTCAAATATTTTTAAAGCATTTATAGGGGTCACTTTTTACTAAAATGACAGATCAATGTAAAGCATAAATGGAAGCCACCATTAAAATGGCAAGATGAGCAAGAAATCCGAGAAGCAATCTGATTAAATGGTACAAAGACCATCCATTCATCTCAAGGCTTTTATTAACGGACCCATGGATCATCCCTTCAACTTTTTTGCCATTCGACTCAGGGTCGTTTATAAAGGGGTTAATTTATATAATTTTTATCTAGAATAAAAATTTTGCAAATTACATATAAACTTTTGAAATTGAAGAGAATACTGTTTGAAAAAACAAAATTATCTAACCATTCTGCCACTTTCTCTTGTCGGAGAACTAATGGTACTTTAGCCTTTGAAACAGTATTGTAAACTTTTATTCCAGTGTCATAACCCTCCGGAAGTTCCCACTTTTTGTTATCTTCACATGTTGAATAGTTTGGATGTAAGTTCCTTGCTGCTGTTATAGGCTTGAATGCTCTGAAGTTTGCTAAACTGTTACAGTTTGAATATTGATGGTAGTGTTTGTATCTTGACCATGATGATTGGCAAAGTTTAAAAACTTTCCTTGCCACAGGTGATTGCAAGTCAACTGTTTTTGAAAGATAGTGCAGCATTTTTATCACTTAGAAGAGCAGGGACAAAGAACTGAGCGCTGATTAAACACGGCTTCCCATATTCTGCAAATGAAAAAATTTACAAATTGAGGTCAAATTTTTTAAATAAAAAAGATATATTTTAAAAAAAATTATAGATAATTGCAGATAATTTTTTTGCAAAATGTTTGTTAATTTTATTGGCTATAAAACTGGAATACTTTCAAATGGTCAGATTAGCACTGATTATGGTGATGAAGATTGTTACCAGTACTGTACCTGGGGGAACTATTTTAGTGCTTTTTTAAATTACCAACATTACATTATATAATCACTGTGATAGAGGGGCACTCCCCATAGTCCATTTAATTATATTTGCCTTTGGAATTTTGAAGCATTACAGAATCACAACCATCAGGAACTTTATATAGACAAACATTGCCATATCTGGCACATGCAGAGGACATAGTGCTACTGGGAAGAAATAGAAATGATACAATTAAAGAATTCAAGGAACTTGAAGATGCCTCAGTTAAAGCTGGTCTTGAGGTAAATGAAGCGAAGAGAAAATATACGATAATGTTATAAAACATGCATATTAGCGACAACATCAAAATAAGCAGCCAAACCTTTGAGAGAGTGGCTACTTTCAAATATCTAGGAGCTACTATAAATTACCACAATGAAATAATGCCGAAGGTGAAAGAAAGGATAATAGCAGGAAACTGTAATTATTTCAGCCTAAAAAACTACTGGGAATAAAAAATCTCTCAAGGAGAACATAGTAAGAGTAGGCAATATACACTACTGTTATAAGAAAAGTTGTAATTTACACAAGTAAGACCTGGTCCCTAACCAGAAAAGCAGAGGACCTGCTCAAAACAAAGAAGAGGAAAATCCTCTGGAAAATTTAAGGTCCAGCGATAGATAATGATGGATGGAGAATTCGTACAAGTAAAGAGATATAGCCTATCAATTGTACGAAGACCCACCAATAGTCACAACAATTAAATTTATTAAAAAAGGTGGACTGCGCTGGACAGAAAACCTTGAGAGGATGCCGGATTGTAGAGCAGCTAAAGTGATCTACAGTCTACAGGCAGAAAGGTAGGAGCAGACAGCTCAATAGTCAACCAAGAATGAGATGGATTGAGTTTACCATGTAATTGTAGAGAAGGATTTACACCAGCTGGGGGGGGGGGGGGGGGGGGGGGGGGGTTCCATGCATGGAGGCGGAAAGTGATGCCTATGATCATCCAAATGGAAAGATATGTTGGAGTTTGAACAGTGGAGCAGACCAGGGCATTACATGGGCTGTAGGTAGCACCAATGTCAATGAATGAATGATGATCAATGACAATCCAATCACCAATGATTAGTATTAGAAGTCCTACGTAGTGTAAGTGTAAGTCAAGTGTAGTCGTCTTAAACTTTCTAGTCTTTACTCTTTACTTTATAAAATTTATTATTTAAATGATTATTTATTCTTTTAAATTTGACTCCAAAATCTCTGAGCCGGTAGTTATTTTTCGACTCACCATCAGTGCGTTTTTGCCAGAACTCACATTTATTTTTAAAAATATACATTAAGTTAAATTAATTAGCTGGTATTTATTACCTTGAAACTAAAAAAACCCAAAAAACATGGCCATTTCATTTCTTCAAACTCTGTTGTTACCAGTTTCTACTTGAGCGTAGCCTCCCTTTCTAAATACCCCCTTTTACTTTATGAGCTATAAATATGTCATTATTAAAAAACATTAACTCCTTTAACAGAATAATGTAATATCATTAAATTTTCGAAGCATTCATTTCTTTTTCTCTCTCCACTTTCAATTTCACATAAATTATTTTTAGAATAATTCTTGAAAAGTTAGTACAATAAAAATTTAATTAAGCTTTCAATGATGAAAGAACATCTACAAAAATAGAATGTTTATAGTTGGTTTGTTTGAAAAGTTGGATACGCGGAAACGAACGATTCTAGGAGACGCAATCCAATACTAATGCGAAAGAGGATTACTTCATTGTTTACAAATGTTGATCTAGTGCCATTCAAATTATATTTTGTATAAATATTTTGATAATTTAAAAATTCAAACTGGCTGCAATGGTTAACAACGCAGCAGTAGAAGCAATCTGCTCTGCGACTTATTTATCCAATTATCTCGACACGATGGAAACCCTGCCGGATGATCTCCAAAGAAATATTTCCCAAATGAGAGAACTTCACATACGAAGTAAAGGTAATCTTACTTGCTTAAGTCAGTTACATAAAGTATAAAGTATGTTATATCTCTGTATTTTCACATATATTAGTATGAAAATCTATTAGTGTAGTTAAGTCTAAAATTAAATCCTACTGCTCTACTTATACTACCTATTATAATTACAGTTAAACTATAGGACGACATACTTCTATACTTCTATAGTATATATTCTATTGTAATTTAATAAGCAATAGGCCTAATAGTACTTATATATTACAAAGAGGACTTGAATGACTTGATTAGAATACTGAAATTATCATCTGTCTAATAAATAATAAATCACTACCACTTGCTGCTGCCAATGATGATATAGTACATCAAAGTATCTTTTATCAGAAGCATGGAGTGATGGAGAGATAATTGGGGGAAGGGGGGTGTGTTAATTTACACTTCAATGGTCCACCTGTTTCCCTGTGTTGGGTACTACTTTTTTGACACAGTCATCTTTGTTGCCATGACAATGACAGAATACAAGTAAAAAAGTAGTACTCAATACAGGGGGAAAAAGTGGAGGGGAAAGGGAAATTTAATGAACTATTTTTTGTGGGAAAAAACCTTCAAACTTATAATCTATTACTCTATCTAACCTGAATGTTAAATGTCCCCAGTTGGAAATCACTCACTATAACTTGATCATAAATCTTCAAACCTGAAATAAATGAGTCTCCCTAATTCGAATGTAAACCTAACATGAAACCTAAATCCATGGTTTCATGTGCTACAGTTACACACTGTTGTGAGAAAATCGTAAATTTGAATAAAAATAATAAAATTATTTTTAAACTATTCAAAAGAATGCAAACCCAACAGACAGTTTCATCAAATACACATTTACACACTTTATTACAGGTTCCACCGTAAATAAAATCCAAATTCAAAATCCATTTATCAAATGATTAGATTAATACAAGCAACCTCATTTTCAAAAGCAGGTATTAATTAACCTCATTTTGAAATATTAATTAAAAAATACATTCCATTGACAGATTAATATAAAATGAGAGAATGGTAAAGTCTACCTTATTTTACTTATTTTCCATGTGTTGCTGTGTTGCTCCGGGTTGAAATGGCTAGAAAGACTTTGATATTGTATGCTTGTAATTAGTTTTTGTAGTGTTGCGTTTGTTTTAAATGTGGTGAATTATAGATATGTTTTTTGTTGACTTTGTACCGCGCTTCGATCCTTTGGGGATGAAGCGTGTTTTTGAAATGAACTTTATTATTATTATTATTATTAGAAATAATCCGTAAATAAACAAATAGAGTTCACTCATACACAGAAACTCAGGGTGGCACATAAAGTGTAAATAGCCCCAAAAATATCTAAAAGCTATTTAGACAAAGGTTTGCAAATATTAATGTCAAAACCAATATTCCTTTTTATTTCTGCAAGTTTATAAAATTTACAAATACAAGAGATTTTAGGAAAAACTTGGTGATCATCTTTATTTTATTTTATTTAAAAATAACTGGCTTTATTTGCAGCTATTTTGGAGGAGATAAAAAATCTACGCAATGCTGCCATGAAAGAAACTGGATCTTCTAAAAAGTCATGCTTAGCCTTACAACGAGCATTAATACATTGCCAGGAAATCGGAGATGAAAAGATTGCGTTGGTGCAGCTAATAACTGATTTAATTGAAAATCGTTCACGCCAGCTTGATCAAGATAGGGAGCATTTAGGTATTTACCTTTTTGAAATTAATTCTAAATTTTAAAAATTATTATTATTTGTGTTTTTATATAGCGCAGTACCCCAGCCTAGGGCTGGGCTCACCAGGCTGTACATACAATTTAACAAACATAATCATGAACTTAAAAATTAACATACATTTATTAAATAAAACAAAACAAATTTATATTCACTCCACACATTCAAGAACTATTTACATGTCCAGCCATGGATGGCTACCCAGCAGCATCATTTATTAGGCGTGGGGGGGGGGGGAATCAGTCCGGAAAGGAGAGTTTAAAGAG